GCGGAGGAAAGGCACCACACCATGTTCGATAAAAAAATCGGTCTTGATGGCCTTTTCGACGAATTGCTTGATGGACCGCCTTTAAACGCCGATGAAATTCCACACAAGTGGCAGTGAAAAGCAAAAACCATCAGCCTCTCTGTTCCTCCTCTCGCCGGATCATTACCTCACCTTCAGAAACAAATCTAATCTATGTTAAAAGCAACGAAATCTGCGCCGGAAGTTCTCCAAGGAATCTCAAGACCGCCTCAAATAGAGACCGACAGAGTTAATGTATCCATCTCTGGTTACGGCGACGCACTAACAAACAGCCCAGCTTTGCCATCAAGTACTGCAATGGACAGTAGCCGAAAGGATCATTTCGACTAGTTTGTGGAGATTTCCAAGGTTATTTGCATTCACATGAAGGGAAAGAATCATCGATGTTCTAGCTTTGCCGCAGTCTAGCGGTTTTACGTGTGGCTTCTGCTGGTCCGTCTTCGTGGACGTCTAATGTGGACGCTGCACTCTCCATCGAAAGCAGTGAATCGCTTCAATCATGGAAAATATTGAGTTTTCGTGTTATTTGAATCCCTCCCAATTGATGCACTACCCAATTAGCGAACTTTGCAACGAGGTCACAGCATTTTGCGATATCTGGCGCAGTTAATCGACCACGATTCGATTCAAATGGGGTCTTGATGTGGACACCTGGTCACAGCCTCATAAAAATTTTCCACTGTCATGGCCACTTGGAATTGGTGATTTTGACCCATCCACAGGCTGATTTTCAAGCTTTTCCATTGATTACTTCGACCATTGTCATTCGTCCTGAATTTTACCCGTGACTTCCCCAAACCTTTCGGTTCGAAGCATCAACAACATCTCTGCAATATTTGACCTCAAAATACTCACATTTTGAAGCTTGTTATGCTACCGGATCAGAAACAGGTGAATTTTTAAACAAAACCAGGGATCCACACGATGTCCGGCTGCCATTGAAAGACTACTTCCAGCAAATTTTTGCTCCATTATGCGGATGCGAAAGGCATTTTAACTATTAAGAGGGTGAAGCAGTTCTGTGCGCGAATTGATTCAAAAGACGACAGAAAAACTTGTCGTCTTGAGCACGTGGTAACGAGATCAGTGAGCATGATGACACCTTCGTAATTCTACACTCTCTTTTCCCCCTGCCTGGCCAACGCAATTTTCGGAGAGTCTCCACTGTGCGTGCGTTTGGTCTGGCATCGCCGTCGTGCAACTGTGTGGTTTAATGGCATCGAATCGCAGTAACGCACACCCATCGGATGCCACGCCTTGTCTTGTTTCGGGTGGAAACTAACAATCACCATCAACAAAGTTTGCCCACTACCCACTATCGCTCACGCCAACGTATGCTGTAGTTTTCCTACTAATTACAGATGCCGCCAACGATCCACTGACTCTCCCATGAAGACAAGCTTTCAGAAAAGAGGTTCGAAACATCAGGAATCCTCGTGTGCTGCACAATGGATTCGCCAGGTCCACGATGCACTCATTACCTCCTTTGCCATGGTTACCAAGCAAAACGAGTAACGGGGGGCCGGCGATACATGCCGCAAGAGTTGTTTACTGATCGCAAGACGGTTTGCTTCAAGTAGACTTCCCAACGAAGTCACGATGTCAAGTATGAAGACACAGACACGGATCCACTACATTTCAAACTCCTGAAACCACGATCGTCACGATCTCTGCATAGCACGATTCAACGATGGAAATATCTAGATCAGCATCTACTTCGGTAGGTCGACTAGAACGATGTTGGCACACTTTGAGCGAAGAGTCACTAGAGCGGTATTTTAAGCCTATCAGGACTATAAACTTCAATATTTGCATGCCTGGTTTGGTCAGATTAAGACACAATCTGCCACCTCATTGGTCAACCGCGGGTGAATGCAAGATGCTATCCTCAGAGCGCTAATGATAAGACCAAATTAACTCCAAGATAACCCTTGCTGTTCTTCGACCTGTTAGGCCAATGGCAGCTGGGTGACCACGGTCTCGGGTGTACCCAGCATATGCTGTGAATAACAACACACAAACGTGGTTCTACGAATACCCTTGCAGCTAAAATCACAGGGGATGACACGAGGGGTAGATGGATAAAATCACAGTTAAGTGAGACTGATGCAAACGGGCATGTGTTCCAGTTGAGTGTTTGATGGAAGGAGAACACACGCAAAACTGAGCTAAATTAGGGAGGATTCTGGACATGGATAGTGCCGTGTCCACGTGTTTCAGTTTGCACACCTCGTTGAAAAGCCACTGCTTTCTAGTAAAGAAGCTTCACCAACAAAAACGACAGGATTCAAGGTAAATTCCCCTCGGAAATGCTCACTTCGTGTTAAAATTCACGCCTGCTTGTCCGCCTGCCTACCTAACAGCTGCAAGTGAATGCACGCGGAATTTGATAAAAAGGTGGCAACTGTCAGATCTCAAAAGAAAAAGAATTAAAACAGAGAAAGGAATTCGGCGAAAGACGATGCCATTTTTGATAACTGCAAATAATCTCGCATCAGGGATTTATCGAATAAACTTCAGTTAAAAAAACGTGGGGTAAAGGTGTAACCGTTGGCGTGTGACCTAGAAGCAATTGGTTCTTCCGTGTTTTACTGGTCTGGTGCATTTATTGAGCGCAATTTCAAATTTTTTTCCACTGAAATGCGCGCCATTCGAATAACGCACACCGTTCTGGCCTGTTATTTGTCCTCTCGTTCCTTCCCGCCTTCCTCAAGACACGCCCGTGGATCTGAGGGTAACCGCGACCCACCCTACGGCCATTCTCTTTCTCTTCCAACATTAACTCTCTCTCTAAGCTTCAGCCCCTCTGCATTTCTATACGATAATATGGAATACTTCAGAAGAGTGGGCTGATAATAACATGCCCATTTAGGTCCCAAGATGAGCATTGCTCCCTGCTATATCATCTTAACATTTTACGCACTTGCTAATTTTTTCATAGGCATTCTCGCTCGACTTGCACTACCTTACGCACTGCCTCGATCTAGATGAAAAAATCGCTTTAAAAACACTGACAAAAGAATGAATGAACAACAACCATTGGCATCAACTTAACCTGGGCGAGATGTTTAAGACCAAATTCAAATAAATTGTGTGCAGCCGTGACATCGTGAAGTCGTTTGTCGAACAAGTTCTACATACGATGCACGAGGACTGTGGGGTACCTCAGCGGATGTGTCAGAACAAGGCGTTGAAAACGACTCAAATCAACTATCGAGATTCCATCACAAGCGGTTCTGTACAATGAAAGACAAGGAGTTGCCCCAATTTGCATGAGTACCAAGTCAGAGGTTAAGTGAAATGATTGGCTCGACATGGGAGTAGTAAATTGGGAAGCCGTAGTCACATCAAAAGAACGGACTCGCCTACCTTCGGCGAAAAATGCCCCAAGGGATTCAACAAAAGGCCCATCTGCGTTCAAATCGCATGACCAGTAGGTGCAGTGAGTCGTTTACATCCGGGTCTGACAACGGAGCTTTCAATAGGTCGGCGGACACTGACATTTCATTTCCCACAAAGCACTGCTGCGTGATGGCTCAAATGTAAGGCTGGAACTCACGTCGGGAGCTGCAATATCCATAGACATCAACAACACTCCGTACAAGATTACGACGAGCGATTGTGACTCGGTTGGTTATCGGACAGTGTAGAAATGTAGGTGTGGGAAGGTGTGCATGTGAACGTAGGTGATAATAATGAACGTACTTCAAGATACTAACTAGGCAGTTAGTGAGTCGCAACTGAAATCAGCAGGAATCAGTATCACCAAGATGACCGAAAACGTAAGTAGGATCATTGAAGATACTGTTTACGAAAACAAACAGATGGAGGGTAATATCCGGCGCTTCCAAAAATCAGCAGTTAAAAAAATGAGGCGTCGAATTGCCACCTGTTAACACACAATTGAAATGATGCAGACCCTTTACTGCTGTTCAGAGACTACGCACATAACAGGCGTTCCTTTTCACATTTCAAAACTTCTGAAACAGCTGACGTGCCAAAAAGTAGATCCTCATTTCGCAAGTCTCAGCCAATGATGGAGAGCTTTTAGCAACATTTCATTAGTTCACGAAAATTAAACACAAAGAGGCAAAAACTGATGAGATGAAGGTTTGAGACGAACAGTCGCTTGTAAATTATTTCGAGACAGGGACCTTTTAAGATTTCGCTCAGAATTTGAAAATAACGCCAAATTTTAGCCCAGTAAAATCGGTGCAATGAGTAGATTTAGCTTAATCCTTGCGACGAGTAGTTTACGTGTAATCCCTCCAAAGCTTGTTGAAAACTCTTGAGCATGAAGATTAACACCGGAACAAAAATCATGATTAGTGTATGCACAGAGCCTAGCTAGCAACATAGAAACAACAACGGTAGCACTTTAAAGGCACAAAAGGGTAAATACATAATACATGGAATACGCACCTGACATTGGGCACAATCATCCAGCACACCGCCTTTCGTATCGTTACCAAGAGTACAAAACGACCGTTCTAATATATCCACAAACATATCCAAATCTGTGGTGACTGAGGAGCGTATCTTGGCATCCAGTGCCTCCATGCTTTTCCTACATTTGCTCGGTGTTTCAAGATAATTCCGAAAAAGTCCATCAGTATTTCGAATGCCCTTATCTGTCGAAACACAAAGCCGAGTTGATGACTGATTGCTACCTTCAATCGCATCAGCAATGTGAGGCAGTAGGTACAGAGGGGGCACATCTGAGCATATTTCGTGGAAAGCATGACGCCGAAGGAAGGCTGCCCGAGTGCAAGGATCAGCAAGCTCATCACAAACGAACGTAACGAGGTCCGGAGACCAAAGGTGTCGTTCCGGGCGTTGAATCGCTGCACGTTTAAACCTCCGCCGGTAGGGGTGCTTAAAGAGCGGGGTAGAATGGGTGGAGAAGTCATTTATTCCATGAGAATTCACCACCATATTCTGTTGAGCTATCTCCACGGAGGAAACCCCTGTAATAAGCGTTGAATTGTGGGTGGCGATCAGCAGACAAAACGCAATGCAACGGTAGACACTAATGGAGATGGTGGACGCTGTCAATCGAGGTTTCAAAGTGAAGGCAGAGGCTTCTGAATGCCTAGACTGGTTGTGGCGTTGAGTAGGGAGTGGTGTTTGGTTACTTCTGACTTTCTTAACGGTAGCGCACCAGGCCGTTATAGCATCATGCTTCGACCGAATACACATAGCTTAACCAGGAACCCAGGCTACAGCGATTTGCATGTTGCTGCAACCGCTATCACCCGTGGTTCACAGGATTGTTTAATGCCGAAGTACCGAAGCTGTTGATGAAGGAGGCGAAAAAAAGGCCATAGAAGTAGGAATCATCAGACTGAGAGCAGAATTAACCTAGAGGCCACGCTCCACAAACTAAAATATGGAAAAATGAAAATTAGATCCCATCAGGTGCAGAAATATTTAATCAAATCTTATGGAAAACGATGGAACAAGTGCTTAATATAAAAGAGTAATGCACTTATTTCCATTATCTATTATCTGAAAATGCATCGGAGATTACGAAATCCAGAGACATCTGTAACAATTACGTTAGGGTTGCACAGAATTTCATGACTAAATATGTTTATTAGGGTTGCGCTACTGAACGTCGTCCACATCACTAACGGTAGCATTGGTCAATCAAACTGAAAATAAAGATCTTCGAAACGGTTAAAACCGACGTATCATGTTATTGTGGTAAGCATGGCACTTGTACATACATTATGGGTTATCGCAGAAAGTTTAGAAGATTCACAAAAAAAGAAAGTGGAAAAACTAAACCACCTAACAAATGCCATATTATATACAGAAAATTCAATTAACAAAAATGGAAGCAATGAGTAAGGAGTAAGGTTGAAAGTAACATTGACGTACAAAAAAACGGAAAACGCAAATAATGCGAGTCCACCGATTTGGGCGCTCAAACCAATCAAAGACGTAAGCCCTGATTCCCATTTTGCAAATAATTTTATGGAGATGAAATAAAACAAAATCATGGTCATAACATTCTGCAATAATTTCCTAAAAACTTTAACTTATTATAATCAAAATATTTGGTAAGAGTTTGTCCATTTCTCAAATCTGGGTGGCTTGTGAGCACCACCTTATGCACACAAGTGGAAAAAGTCTGATATAAGCTGGGAAGAACCATTCTTCATGCTTGGTACACAGTCATGTTCTATAAAATTTTTATGTCATCTCAATGCATGTTGCGGCTAACATGTTCTTCCATGATTAACTAACTATTTTTCCCATCAAATAAATAAGTACAGGAAAAAGCATTTAAAATAATATGGACGAATGCCCATAATAGTATTTTTGGCATTGTAATATTAAATCCCACAATATTGTCTTGATTAATTTATGTTATCAGTAGTGGTTTAACAAAAATTGATATATGTATTACACAGAAATGTTTTTATTTCTATAATATATTGATTTTATTATACAACACGGTTGCTGACACATGCAGCGTAATATCTCGTATTCGTATATTATTTTAAACAGAATGCTGTTAATATTGCTTAATTGATAAACAGATCAATTACGTTACGAGGATTTGTACCCTTTGAAAGAGTCGAAATAGACTTACTTATTAGTGGTTACCAAAGGTGCCGAAAATGAGTTTTAAAAAAAAACAAATGAATGTACTTACGAAATAATTAGCCAACAATGTACAAAATTTAACCTATAAAACTGTCCTGGAAATGACATTTATAAGTTATTTTGTAGTGCGCGCGGACCTTTGACCATTCACGTTTATATCATTGGTCAGCAAAGTGCTACATGGGCTGTCAACGTTAATCCACATGTTTACTGAGGAGGTGAAGTTTGGTTCCGATGTTCAGATATTATTGCCCGTTGAGAAACGAGCCCCCGTAGGAGCTCACGGTCCCCCCCAAAAAAGGAAAATGCCTACGTGGTTACAAAAAGAGTTGCGTCTCCGTTTGCCTTACTTTTCAAATTTATTGACCGTAACTCCAACCCACGTTTATGCACCTTGAGAGTATATTTCTCCCTCACGCCTTTCTTACTGACTTATCCTAATGTACACAAGGTTTATTTTCGAACAAAATCTAACTAAATGTTTTCCTTATGTGCATTTCAGTTTATAATGAGTTCGCTCCATTCACACTAAAGGACTCCACTGCACAAGCGGCGATGATCTGTAGCCGGTGTTCTTTTTTAACATTCATTTTCCTGCCAACCAGATGTTCATGCGCTTCTAGTTAGTCCCATTGGGTCATGACGACAGTGACCGACCTCAACAATACTTCCTCAATGGAACAATTGAAGATTTTGAGAAGGTTATTCGTCCCCGTAACCACTGAATGACGCATTAACTAAATAAGTGGCATATTTGCACATGAGTTGAGTTTGACTTCGTCTAGTATTTGAGGCTCTATGAGCCCCAGAATCTCAGTTTTTGAGCTGACTTTTTTGGCACTATGTCTTTGCAATAAGTAATTTTTATTTTTCATAGACCAACCTAAAAACCTGTAGGTATTTCCATACTGTACACTTCGTTTTTTATTGTGATCGAACCCTGTTGTTATTACGTGCATCCTTCTGCATTCTCATTTTGTAATTTCCGCTTTAGCGACTCTACGAAATTTACCCATTTTTGCTTTTGATAATGGTATTTTCAATTTTAGCACAAAACCGTCCTTGGATGAGGTGTGCATTTCAGGAGAAAAAATCTTAAAGGAAAGCAGTGTTCCTGCTCATCGACAAACTGGCAAAATACCAAATTGACCTCTTTGATTTTGGGTGCAATAAATATAATATGCTACACTAGACTTTTATTTTCTTTAATTTTTTGCAAAATTGCATCACCTTTTCCCTAATTTAAGGTTCATCTTCAATGGGTGAAAATCTGTCGTGTTGTTCTACCCCTGCCAAAAGTTCCTGATAGAATGTTTCACTGTCCATCCCGAAGTCTCGGCTGTCTGTTCAGCCGTATTCGATTGCCGTCCTTGTACACCCCTCTTACTGTACTTTCAGCGTCATTGTCTTCCAAGGTTTGTCAGTCGGTCGTTACATATTTCCCAGGCTAAACCTAAAACAAGTAAACCGCGTTCTGCACCTGCCCCAACAGTAGACGTTTGGGATGGTATCAGCATTTCAGAGATTTCAAAGGCGACTAAACGTCCAGTGGGCGCTATTATTCGTTCGGTAAATTCCGGTTTACTCGGCTCCCTCCGAGTGACCGCAGCCACTTCAATCGAAAATCGAGAACTGCTTACTGGTCTTGTGTCGCTTCTCGGTTTTCGGCCTAATTTCGTGAGCAGGAAGTCGTTCGACGGTGCCAAGAAGAAGTCCGCGAAAGTTGACTTCGACGTTTACCCCAGGTAAGTGGGGAAAATGCTAATAGTCTGGCTTTTGCCGTGAAACCCACACACGGAGGAGTGCATGCACTTTTCTATTGGTTGTACTCGTGCCCGTTTGCACTTCAAGGCCTCCACCTGATCCACAAGTTTGCGTGCCTCGACCGCCAGTTGTCGCGATTATGGGCCACGTGGATCACGGCAAGACGACCCTCCTAGACGCCTTGCGCTCGTCTAGAATTGTGGACCAGGAATTCGGTGGCATCACCCAACACATTTCCGCCTTCTCGCTTTCAGTCGCCGAGGCCGCCACCGCCGCATCCAACGGTGAGGCGCCAGCAAACATCCCGGCTGTCGCCGACGGCGTCATAACCTTTATCGACACTCCCGGCCACGCGGCGTTCTCGGCCATGAGAGCCCGTGGCGCCCGGGCCACTGACATTGTCCTCCTGGTGGTCGCGGCTGATGACGGTGTCATGCCACAAACCGTGGAGTCGATCAAATTCGCCAGGGAATTTGGTGGTAAAATGCTCCTCTCATTTTTTCCAATTAAAATGCTTACCGTGCTTCATTTTTACCCCTCATGAATGTCTCTGTTGTATAAGACATTCTTAGGAAGCTTCGTATACTTAATTTGACCTAGTAGGGGGTACTAGAGCCAATTGCTCTCAATTCACTAGTTAGAGGAAGCACCCTGTGGATGAAATAAGGGCTTTTAAGCTACACCACGCACCGCTTTTGTTGTAATCTTGCTTATTTGCAATTTTAGCTCAAATCATCGTTGCTATCAACAAAGTGGACAAACATGGTGTAGACGTGGTAAGTCGTAGTTGCGTCAGTAAAGTGCTTTCGATTGGGGATTCGGACGCTCAAACGGTGTGCTATCTCGTGATTTCTAAGCTATCAGTTTGAAACTCATACTGAGGCCATCAATCGTGTTACTGATGCATTTTGATGGGTCTCAGAGGGATTTGCTAGCAATGTCTGGGCGACAGGAGTCTTCCAGATTGGTCATGGTTTCTACGAGAATCGCTGGCAAAGTGTAAATGTGTGGGGGAAGGCGGTGGCCCTTGTTCAAGTCCTGCTGCTTTCTCTTTTCTCCCCTCCTCGTTTGTTCCCCCCAATCGAACAAAACAGTTAGCGGGAGCTGTAGTCTTCAAGCGATCCCACCTCTGCTAGCCGTGTGGTGTTTACTTTTACGGTCAGGTAAAATTTTTCGCCAGAAAAATGCAGTGCGCTCCTGAATTGTGGTAGACAAGTAGGGGAATCGCCACAAAGGAAAAATTCCGCATGAATTTATCCATTTTTTTTGGATCAGTTGAGTGCGCCTGTAACGCGTGGTTCACACCCAACTTATTAGTCAATGGACAGCTCTAATTCCAGATACCAATTTTGAGGTAAACGCGCGCCTGCAAAGCAGTAGGCTTCGTAAAGTATGTATGGTGCTGCATCTTGTTGTGCTTTGGGTGTTTTAACGATGATCACCACCCAAAAGATAGATCTCTTCGTGTAGACAGCGAAAAACGAGTAGTTGAATCACCTTCACGTATGCAATGCAATGTGTCATTGATGTTTTGTACGATTGGAAAAATAAACAAAATGAAAAAAAAAGAGGCAACGATGGGGCTCGGACGCAGGCCTACTGCGCCGCACCCACTCGCTTGCCGTGTGTTTGCGTTAGAAACCAGGCCTTATCTGAAGAAGTCTTGATAGGACCAGTCCTTCTTCGAAGCACTCAAATCGCCTTGTTGGCGTCTACAACACTGCCATCTGTCTGTCTTGGTTGATCTCCTTCAAGGAGAACTCTGGCTTCATATTTAGTTTCACCACATGCATTAAGTACTAATTTATTTCTGTTCTTCTTGTCCGTCTGTGGAGTTTGTGGCCGCCGTTTGTTTGGCCAACTTTCCTTTCTAAATCCTCATTCATTCTACTCTGGTAGTGGGATATTGAATTCAGGAGGCGTCATTGATTGTTTGATTTAAACAACAAGTAATGCTTCGTTAACGCCACATGGATTTTTCTGGTGTTAAACTACTGAACATATCAAATGTCCATTTGATAAGTTTGTTATGGGCCCCAGCATGTGGTCTTGAACCACGTCGGGGCCACTGAATTGACTCTGGCCTGATTACGCTTCCCTGATACCCGCGATGAAGAAAAAGATCGGAGAGGACGTGCACACAACCGTTTACTTCAGGGGTCAACCACGTAGGTATCGTTGTGTCGTGTGTGTACTTATTCTTCAGGTGTGTGTCATACATGCGCTAACATCGAAACCTAGGTGTGAGGATACTCCAAGATAAATATTCTTGCGAATGAGGGGGGAGTTGAGGATCCGCGCGGCTGGCGACATGCTGCGACAAGGGGAACCCTGTGTCGGAGAATGGAGCGACCGGATTAAGGGGTTGAATAAACATGATTCACAACATGTTCAGTTGTTTGCGTCTAATGGTTCCTATGGTGCCAACGGATTTCGCGCATAAACACGTACCACAATTGGCGTTAGTTATTCTACCCTAGGGGTATCAAATCATAGAATGCAAAAAATGACACGTTACTAATTTACTTTTGACCGCTGTATCCCGTTCACAATGCAGACAAGTATGATTATGGTCTCAAATCATCGATTTCAGGTCGTATTGTATGTGCGTTCCACATTGTAGGAGGGAACCATCCAGGGTCTGGCGGCCGTTGGCGTCTTAGTTGAACAACTCGGCGGCGACGTCCAGGCAGTGGAGATATCGGCCTTGAAGCGGCTCAATCTTGTCGCGTTGCTTGAGGCCATTCTTGCCCAGGCGGAGATGATGCAGATTTCCGCCGACCCCAACGGACCAGCGGAAGCCCTGGTTATTGAATGCACCACCGAACATGGCCTTGGGTGAGACAGCGGGTGTTTCCACGCATTATTTTCACACCACCACCAACAACAACGTTTTCCTTGAACTGCTTATATGCTCGAAGATCAACAGTGATTTGTCGTAGCTGCCTTTCATAGTGAAGGGAGAGCGTCCAAATTCCAACGCCAAGTCTTGCAGCAAAACACTTCAGAGCCCAAAATTGGTCAGTAAACTGTTGCATTCAAATTCGGTTACAATAAAGGCTGTTGACGAACTCAGCATGGCAGCTCGCCACACACAAAACTACACCTGTTCTTTCGATTGGCTCAGTCGCCAATTCGTCATTATTGCGACATGTCGAAAGTGCCGTCGATCGACACTTTGGCTGTGACGTTTTTTTCCTTAATTTGGCGAAACCTCTCTGTTTCACCTGACGTCGCATTTGCGGGATTCACGAATTCGCCTATCGATTTTATGCAACTCTTAGCCAAACACAAGCAAAATGTTAGCAAAACGGACGAACAAGGACGCAAGGTTGCGCTGTTGAGGATTGGCAGAGCCTGGGAATCACGCCAAGGTCACCATTTTGGTGGCGAAGATGCGGAAATCAAAATCCCATTGAAGTGGTTGACCTGTGGAGACCGAGTTACAACCCTGCCATATTGTCCACCAATCGCGTTTTGAGTGTGTGACAATCAAACCAATGAACGCCAGCCAATCAATGAACGGCCTCGAACACATCTTAAGCGTCTTGGTCACCAAAGACCTCCCTCTTTGTGGGAGTAATCGTCAAATCTTATCTTCCAACGGGGTAACTGAATTGCCGGTCGTTATCGTGTTGAACCGGAAGACGGTTGAGGTGGTTTGAGGCGACCGTCAATCTCTACCTTAACTTTCCATCGGCCGAGGGGTTGTTTATTAGTTGTTGCGAAGTCTTACCGGTTGGAGATTCTTATATGGAGGGTTGGATGGTCGAAGTATTCGTCTCGACCACCACAACGATTCGGCTAATGCACAGGCCCTCTGAATGTACGCATATAGCCTACAGAAGCGGGAGTATTCCCTGATTCAAACCCACTTGGTTTGAGGACGTCTTCGTGTCGAAGGGAGGCGTGTCCGTGACTACGGCAACTTCTTTATCGTTGCACTCGATGATAAAGAATTTCTTCGCCCGAATAATCAGCGTACCTCATCGTGCCTGAACTGTGACAATCGTTGTAAGTACATGGCGGTGAGCAATCCGTGATTTAACGAGGTCATTCACCTGCCCGTAGGAAGTGTCCACGTGGATACAAATTCCTCCAACCCATACTGACTTCTTTGATATGCAGAACCCGTGAAGGCGTGGCGTTGTTGCTTCAAGTATTCCCACCCGATGGTACATGAAGTAGTCATCTTAGACAAGACGTCCAGGCGTCCAGCCGATTGGCCAAGTCTGAAATTGCACTTCAGTACACGCTTCCCAGCGCATGACAATGTTGGTCGTTCGACTGTGTGCAGGCGCAACCTCGAACTAGAACAGTTCAGTTTACTCGTCTCATTCGCGTTCTTGACCACAGCACGCATCGTGTTCCTTGCCGACCCATGGCACCGGTGCCTTTTCATCTCAAACGCTTTTCCCCCTTCTAGGAAGGTAGTCAGCTGCCTCGTCACACGTGGCGTGCTGAAACAAGGCAACAAGAGCGGTCCTCTGGTTGCCGGTGAAAGCATTGGCTGCACGCGAGTCCTTCGCAACGACCGCGGCGTCAAGGTCGAGACCGTTGCCCCTGGCTACACGGCTACGATTGCAGGGTGGAAGACAATGCCTCCGGTGGGTAGCACCATCCTTGAAGTGAAGTCCGAGGTAGGCGTTTCGCCCGTCCGAGGTTTTAGATTTGGGCTTGTTCGTTAACCGAGGTGTGTTCAAGCCAATCATGTGTGACCTTGTGCATCGCAGGCGGAGGCTGAAGCGGCGGTGCGCGCGCGACGACAGCGGCGGTTGGAGCAGAAGTCGCTGACCGACAAGGTGGCCATCGACAAACGCGTGGCCAACTATCGCGCCACGTACGATGCCTACCTGAAGGAGCGCGTGCAAATGGATCCCGTCAGTGCGCGGCGTTTCGCGTCGCAGTTTAGGGTGGGCTTGCGTCTTCATTTTTGAGGTAGCCAACCTTCAAGTCAAGCCAAGTCTGTGTTTGTTGTAGAAATCCCAAACCGGTCTGACGGCACTGATGTCGGAGATGAGTGAAGAGGTGCCGAGTCTGCCGTTAGTGGTCAAGGCCGACGTTGAGGGGAGTCTGGAGGCCATTTCGGACATGCTGGCCACCTGCCCGCCTGATCAATGTCGGGTTCAGATAGCCCTCTCGGGGGTAGGACCAGTGACGCCGGCTGAAGTCGACCTCGCGGCTGCCGTTGGGGGTGAGCCTCCACCATTTAAATGTGTCCCCCTATCATTGCTACTTACTGCATTCAAGTAACTTGTATTTTGTAGCTGAACTTTTTACTTTCAACGTCGGTGCGCTGCCCGAGGCGTTGCAAGCGCTCAGTGCCCACAACATGTCCATCCACTCACACAACGTGATCTACAGGCTAGGTGAAAACGTTCGCTCCCTCGTCAATGAGAAACTGCCGCCTCTCTATGTCGAAGAAATAATCGGTGAGTTTGGCAGTGTCTTGCTAGCCCACATTTTCACTATTGCAGGCTAATATTGGCGAGCTTTGGTCTAGTGGGGCCAATCAAAACGAGGACACGTTACGATTTCTCCCAGTAAATTGACCACAAATTTTTTGCTAAATACAATGTTTTTCTGTGCTACAAACGGTCAGGGAATTTACCTACAGGTCAAATTAAAGGCTTGATTGAAAATCGAGATTCGAAAGTGGCGCTTAGCGTGTGAACCAATGAGAATGCCACGAGCTTGTCCGAGAACCGTGTCCTTGAGTTCCTATTAGCTGAATTTACTCTTTAAATTCACTTGTCTATCCTTGAATTATGTGGCGCGGTGACGTGGGTTTGTGAGGGTTGGTAATTCCCTTGTCTTGAAGGCGAAGGTGTTGTTCTGCAAACCTTCGAAGTCTCTCTGATGCTGGCCAAACGCCATGAGGTCATGGTTGGTGGATGTCGGTGCACACGTGGAAACATCCTCTCTGGACGCTCCTCCAAGCACGGTCGGTTGTTGTTGCTTTTAAACGTGTCCCAGCCTGATGTACCGCGTGTACAGTGAATTTGTGCTCTTGTAGGCGCTGATCCCATTCTCTTTCGCGTTCTTCGGCCAATGCCAGCCCCGGCCGACCGCAAAGACGCGAGCCGAAAAGCCAAAAGGCCGTTTTCGTCCCGCGACGCCGACGAAGACCAGGAAGGAGATGAGGCGGACCCCCTGGCAAATAGTCGCCTCTTGGTGGACCGAGTGCCGTGCTACTCTCTGCGTCACGGGCGCTCCAACGTCGACTCGGTGCGCCGCGACGTCGAGTTCGGCATCATCCTGGTGAAGAGGGCCAACGACAGCAGCGATGCGCACAGGAGCCTCGCCGACGTCTTCAGGAACCCGCCGCAGGTCGGTGAAATCGGCTCCGACGCTGTTGTCTTCGCCGACTGGGCCCAGGGTGACGTGGTCCAGTGCTACCGCATTGTCGAGAAGTCGCAGTCCATCGAGTGGCATATCGACGATCCAAGCGTCAACTGAAATGGTTCCATCGGTACCCCTACGCATTGCACTCAGGATCAACTCTGTACAGCACGCCCATTCTCGCCCCTTTTCTTCTCCATTTCCTCTGATTTTTTTTTGCAAAATGGCTCTTTTTCTAGCAAATACTTTCCTCGGTAGCCAATAATAGCTAAGGTCATTCTGTACTCGCCAGAGACGTTGTGCTACTGACGAAGTAGGATTATCCATGACGTGGTTGGTGGTAGCGGCTTGTACAGAGGAATTTGACTGAGACAGTAGGCGTGGGACTTAAACTAGCAAAAAGACGACAGCTCAATCTCAAATTACGCTAAGAAGGTAGGCTAGGTTGGAATGTGTTGGCATTTAGGTTCTGGGGGCTGGGCCAGTAGAAGTGGCGAGTGACTGATTTTTAGGTGGTGAAGCGGTTGCCTCACCAACGCTGGTTTAGTCGCGATTTCAGAGCTGGTTTCTGTCAACTGAGATTGTAGTGATGTGGATTTCATTACTAACTGAAAATGCTTGAATCTGGTTCGCCGAATTTTAGAAGAATCAAATTTCTCCCTCCGAAGCTTAAAAATTCCTCAGGTTATCGAGTAAATAGTCGATTGGAATTGGGACAAGTCTGACTATCAGTGAGATTCCCTTACCTAAAATTAACCCACCAATCAAACGCGAGTACTAGCGGTGCACGCTCACGTGAGTAGGTCATTTGCATAATTCTCGATTACAGCACTTGGGCTTGAGTTTATCACAGGTTTGGAGCTCGATTTCTGCGGTTAGGGAACCCGGATAAGCAGACACTTGGAGCTTGTGTCGAATCGAGCAGTTTCAGACCAACCGATGCTTCCCCGACTTGAAGAGCTATTCAGCGTTCGGTATGTTAGCAGTTAATTTACTTTAACTGAACTTGTAACGGTTAAGACGCGTTTGTATAAAGTGCAGTCGATGACAAGGCTGGGTCAAGGGTGTAAACTGACAGCTAGGCAGCGACAACAGCACCAACGATGACAACATCAGAGAAGGTCCGTTTAAGTGTTGAAGTAACATCTAAACCAGGCATTTCTGCTTTTGGGGTTATTGTAACATCAATCTCCTCGTCAGGAGGTCGGTTTTGGGCCCCTCTAGACTTCCTTAGAACGTGACTTGAACTCAGGTTAGTAGTAGTACCACAGGCCTAAGAACTAAAACGCCTCAAAGGGTCAGTTAATGTACGTCTTGGGTGTCTATTCTTTCGAAGCTCAAGGGTGCTCGTGGTCACAGGTCAAGACTTTGTCACTGATGGTATTGTAGTAAAATCGCATTGATTAATCCGGTTGTCGCATTCTTCGCCATTCTGACCTCGTTCTAACCATTCATGCGAAACCGCCAACCTCACCATTCAGTCTTTTTCACCAGTGTATTGACTCAGACTGTGCTGACCTTCAGTCCGATTCAGTCTATTGCGTTTGAACGCGTGGTGGCGTGGCTAGCACACCTCTTCTGAGCTATCCGCTCGTGTCTCCACATCTTTGAGTAGCTTAAACAGGTCAATTCAAAAAAGCCACCTCTTCGTGGTTTAAGACTACATATCGGGCGCCCTCAACAATTGGTGATCCCGAAATGATCTCTCCAGCAACAGGATATTGCGCTTCCACCCAAAGGAACAAGTCGGGGCGATGCATTTGCCTGATTCGCCTTTGCTGTTAGCAGGCTTAAAAACGTTTGAAATCGATTGCATTAAGTTGCCCACCATTGGTTCTTATTAAGGTCACAGGTTTGTCGCGTTAGATGGGGCATTGTCAGTGAGTTTTGGAGCAGACTGTCATTTAGGATAGGTGAAAATTTACAGATTTGGTCTTCCTGAAGCTACCGGATCGAGATGTCACAGAATTGCAAACAGAAACATTGGCACTAATGCAATTTCAATTCTAGACGTGCAAAAGACTGATCTTAGAGACACTGAATTCGAATGTCTCCTAAGCTATGGAACACTGATCGAGTTAGTGAGAAAATAGCGTGGAAGTAGGCATGGAGGTCACTTTATTGAGCCCCTAGAATGCGTCGTGGATATTGGCGCATTGAAGAGCCAGACTTAACACCCTGCCCATTCACGTGACCCACCAACTGGAGATGACGTCATCAGTTGGCAGAAGGGCGATGCGATGCCCTGGGGCCTCAACGCCCGCAAACCGAGGGTGGCATTTCACACGTAAAAATGCGCAAGTGTTGCACTTCCGAGGCGTTCAGTGTCTCTCCCACGAAGATTTCAAGCACTCCCCAATTTACAGTTCAATTTGCCTGTGAAATTATGGTCTATGATCGTAGTAGTGCCAGGTCTACTTGCTTGCTGTTCCAGAATTTATCACATTCCCGATCGCTTACTCCGATTGGTTCGTGAGTCGATACGATCAAGTCCGGTTGACAGCTTATTAGACATGAAAGAGGACAGGATCAGTTACAGACAGCAATCACCGGCCCATTGTGCTAAATTTCCGTACGGGGTCCCAAGGTTTCCGTCCACTAAGATAATTTAACGACAAGTATTATCCCGATTGTGTGCATTTTTACCCTTTTTATAGGTCTGAAATTTCCGAAGTAAAATCCCACTTTAAATTTGTCTGTCTAGCATGGGTTCTTAAGGTGGGAAGGCATAAACTACTGAATTTGCTAATTTTGATTTGCCATCGTCATTACACTATCATTCGACGTGACTGCTTACGGAAGCCCTAATAGCCAATGGGTTGACATTGTCAGGTGATTCCAACCAGCCATTTTTTTTCTGCATCTTCTAGAAAAAAAAATACATATTAAGAATGCAGGTAAAATTAGAGTAACTGTTTGGAATTTAGAATATGATTTGTAGCTAACCGAAGCAGTGCAAGTAATCACATTTGTGTGTGAGTGTGATTTGAGGCCAGTTGACGAAACTCTTACAACTACCATTCAGCGATCACGCCGCACGTCATTGGACAGAATGACTCAAGCTCCACCTTCATCATGAGTTGATCCCATTCCAGTGTGGGTGGGGAGACTCGCAGTACCAGATAATTCCAACTCCGGTAGATGTTACAATGATGAATAAACACATTTAAGGAACAACGCTTGACTTTCTATAATTATAATTGCTTTGAGTAAACATTGCGTAAAAGTACAACCATTGTTTAATTTACTACGAACGTGCACTTTCACGTGGCTCGATAAATTGTGTAGTTAAGACAATTAATGTTTGCGATGACAACGATTGGCAAGTCGCAAGCCACATCCAATAAGGACTGTTTACCATCTGGCGATTTCAGGGTTACCAGGTTGATGTGGTCATGTGTCGTTCACTGACAACTTTGTGTCGCTAATCCTCCAAGACGCCTTCATCCAATCACATCTCGTGACGGTCTGATCGGATTGGATGGCTGGAGTATATGAGGCTGAACAACCAGCCTTGCTCTGCAAGAACCTGCAAAGCATGAAGTTCATTCTCGCACTGGTCGCTTCTCTGGCGTTACTTGAACTGGTCTCCTCCTACACCTTCATAGTCAGTGTAGAAACTGATGAGGAAAGTAAGTCATCTGCCAGAGTATTTACACCCAGTTGAAATAATCTCGGGTTTCTGCTGCAGAACTAGGGATAGGATGAACCATTTTTGACGGTTGATAGCCTGGACCAGATGATTATGAATACTGTACAACAAAAAATATCCGCTTTCCTAATTTCCCACATCACCACGTAATCGGAACCTGGTAGTTTCATTTGTGTTAGTTTTGGTTCCTACAAAATTGACGTGTTTATTTTGAGAAAACACAGTCAGTCAACTAACAGTGTATAACTAATTTTTGACGTCTTATTGAACGTAGGAATGAAAATGAGGGGTGAACGCAGAAAGTGGACTTACAGGAACTATTTTTTCACCAGTTCCAATTATGATAGCAGGGCATTTGCTGGGTTTTCAACAAGGGCATTATGTCTTTCTTTCTTGATCACAGGCGGAAGACCATTTATCACCTACGACGGCACCAAATACTACCTTTCTGACGACGAAAGATGCAACCGCGCAGTCTTCGTTCGTGGTGATTGTGTAGTCAGTTTGTACCTTGGCAAATCGGACCCCAGTGGACATCGTTGGGGCGATGCGTAAGTCCCTTAGTCACTTGGTAGAATTTTGACGTCACAATATTTAATATGCACTGCGCGATCTGAGAATAGATCTGTGTCTCTAATTTTAAAGGAGCTTGCCTTGGAGTCAACTAAGTTACCTCCCCAGTTGTGGTCTTGTTTAATTTCGGAAGCTAAGTATGACTTGGCACTCTCAACGCCAATCACACCATCGGCGTTTTAATGTGTGAAAAAACAATCCCACATCTAGAGTGACTCTACCACTACGCGTACATACTTCACATCCTGTCTAACTTACGTTATTTCCTAGCTGACTGGAGTGTTAGTTGTGTGGTTTACACACCAATCAAATTGATGCAATACACGGTAAACAAATTAGACGTGAAAATCCCGCAAATTGTGCTGATCTTTTCGTAGGGACAGTGACACCCACCTCCAACTTTGTCCGCTTGCGGCCGATAATTCCCAAAATTAGACTATCTTAAGAGGGGCACAGTGAAGTAGTCGGTTATGAGAGACCAACACAGTGGTAGGTCAGCAGCAACTAACCTTACTCCTCATTATTTTAGAATTTGCAAGGGTCGGGCCAATCCAATGGACGACGATTTCTGGAAGACTTACGTTGAAGAACGTCTGAATGCAGCCCCTGGATACAGTCGCAGCGAATGCGCCTGATTGCTTTCGGCCACCATTCGACTCGATAACAACTTTCTAGCCTTCCTTTAACTTGTGCTATTACAATAAATTCTGTAATAAAAAACTTAGACCATTCTTTATAATTTCTACCGTGATGTATTTCCCTCGGAGCAATTTCTAATGGATCTTGTTCATGTGTTTGAGAAAGACTGGTTTAGTATAAGACCTAGGCTCAACTATCCACGACATCTGACAGTTGGTAGGAGCACAATTTTCCTTTATTTTCGGTTCAGAGTAGCTCACATTGATGGCTATAGTCGCATCCTAACAAATATGGCCTACCAGACTCCGTGCGAGCAAGTTTTTGATTGGTAAACTCACATTACACAGCCTTCAACATTAAATTATAATATCCTAGCATAACACGATCCAACGGGATTACCAAATCATCATTTTGTGGCAAATTCGAGATCACTGACAGATGCTACAAGCGTATTTCATTGGTCAGTTAGTTGCTCTGAGTTTAAAGCATCGATTTTTTTTATTAAGTGTGATAGCGTGTTCACAACTTACTTGTTACAAGTTAAAACGAACTAGCTTCTCCAGCAGCTGTGTCTCAAGTGATCACCAATCTACAGAAACTGACTGCCACTCTTGCTAATATTCTGGTTTGCGACAAAAGCAGTTGGAGGCAATAGTTCAGTGATAAGACAAAAAGCTTTTGTATAATGCGAGGTCAAGCGTTGTCATGTAGCAGTAGTATGACTTGCCTGCCTCCTCCTTGATCAGTAAGTCGCATTTTCTGACCAAGTTCTTTGCTCACTTTGTTCATTTGTTGGTTGCTGTGATCCGCAGTCACCGTCATTTTCCAACCGGACACACAGCAGAACCTTCTTCAAGTGGATGTCCTGTTTCGGCGTCGACGTGCTAAGTTGTCAAGGATCTACCCACGACGTTTACAGTTTGGGATTCTAATAAAAATATGCTTTTCATTACTCGTTACAATATGCCACAAGAAGACAAGCAGTGAAAGGCATGTCTTCATACCCTGACCCAGGTAATTGTGTTCGGTCAACACATGTGGGACCCTATGTCCAACTTTTTGAATTTATCCATTTCGTGCAAATGCTTGGAATTAGCTGTTTCGCTGACTCTTAACTGAGCTGCAGGCTCTTGTTACGTTTGCTCTTTTAAAATGCTTGTACCAATAATAACACATTTCGTGAGATACAACTTTGCCACCAAGAACACTGTAAATTGATTTCTGTGCTTTAAAAGCATGTTCTCCTTGCTGGCATTCCTATAAAATGCAGTACCATCGAATGTGCTGTTAATCAGTTGCCACCGTAGTCTCTGCTATTCTGAGAGGCTATATGACTCACATAGACTTGGCGTTCGGCGTTCTGATACCTTGCGTCCAATCTTTTCAAAAACACAAAAAGGGCAAAAAGATTCCAATTTTAAATATGTAATTTTAAGCGCGAATAAAAAATTTAGTCATGCCCCTAATGCGCGTTCATCTAAAAAGCTTTTCCCTCATTGACGGAGATAAGGCTAACTTAGTAGAAATTTAAACCGATGCTAAATCTGGAGGGATTTACCGCCTTCCTTCCCACCCCCCTCGCCACCCCAATCAGACCACTTGACACGAACGGGCTGCATGGGGTCAACGGCACACGACCGCACGAAATGCACGTATCGGCAGCTTTGATGTTAATGCGGTTTTACCCTCTAGTCACAGTCCACATGTAGCTGCACTAACCGGGATCACGTCTGTAACGTTTAGCCTCTCTCAGACAGCTGTTTGGAGCCCTCGGGTTTGGGGTAATTTTTTTGGGTGTTAATTAGATGCAGCTACTTCATAATCCTATTAGTCGCCGACAACCCTGGACCCCAACAACAAAGAGGATGGCAGTAGGACACATGACTGGGCAGGCGCAAGCGCTTGTTCACCTACTGAAGAGTTAACATGCAAGAGTAAACCAATCGAATTTGTGATTGGTCAATTAGTAGCCAATGAGAGCAACGCAAGCGAGACGTTGGGTCATCGATTTCCTAAGCGCGGCAATCGATTGTCAGCACAAGAGTACGTGCATGGAATTGTTTTGGAGACCATCTTCTGAAAATCCACATTAGGAGGTGAAACAGCCCAAAGAAATTAAAGAAAGAATTGGGTAATGACCGATTCACGAACTTGGCAATTAGCTTCTACACATAACTGTCTCGCTACTTCGTAACTCAAAATTTTCGTAATTTTCAGGCTCATTTTTCTTTGTTATTGCCCTTGAAACACACACTTGGCTTTATACATGAGCGAACTTGTGTCATAGAGAATTGGGCGGAATCAGAAATGAATACTGAGAATTTGTGTGCTGCCCTAGGTACGTTACTCTAGTTTAGAGGTTTGATTTTCAGTGGCAAAGTCTAACTGATACACTACATGTGGCCCCTGGGCCATCGCATGTAGACTTGTAGCTGAATATCGATCGTCAACACGAGTAGATTTACAGCGTGCAAATCGATCGCCAATTCGATAAAACAGCGCCCAGATTTCGCACAAACAATAATGTCATACTTCCGCGGAATGTAACGTTTTATTACGTTGACATTAACAGATCACGCCTTGTGGAACATAGATTGCCATCCTCCTAATTAACAGTTACCACAATTAAGCAGTTTATTTGGTAATCGGTGTGTGCGTACCACACCGAAATGTGAGGGAAAATGGCAGCTCCAAATGCAGCTTATTTGAACAAAATACACACCTACTTCATGTCAGGTTTTTCCCAGGATCAAATCGCACACCGTAATTAGTTTTCACAACCTCAAACCTTTGTGGCTGTGAACGTGGCTTTACACCGTTCTGCGTTTCAATTACACGAACCACTCATAAGGAGGAGTAGGGGAGTTACAATATCTCGACTACAGCTTGATCTCCTGAAAAATGTGGTTTGGATAAGGAGTTTGGAAAACCAGGGAAGCTGGGGTTAAATGCTAAGAAAGCTGCAATGGTAGCCTACTATAGTAAGCTAATTACTTTTTTTCATAAGAGAATGCTATTTTAAAAAAAACTCACTGTGGCAGTCACTTTACTACTTTAGCATCTATTGGCGATCAGTTCTCACGCCGAAAGTAGATAAGACTCCTCTTCTGACGATCGATGACCGAACCACTTAGGAGCGCTAATCTCATTGGCTACGAGTCGAGCTACAGACGGTACCAGTGCCTGCAAGATGAGCAGCATACAGTAATGGTGGAAAAATTGAATTATTTACAAACGAATAAACACTTTCCTTTCGAGTATGTCTTCATTTTGTTGTGAACCGCACAACAATTCACAAAATCTTGTGATCGGTTTTGAAATGTCTTTTATAATTCGTCGTCCTTGTGTGTCAGCCGCATGAAATATCGGTTAACGATCGCCACTGGGATTTGCCTAGCCCGCATTTTGTATAATTAGCTGCAGAAGTTGTTCCAAGTTTGGCATATCGTGTTTACCACGAGACACCGTTTGATATTCCATTCCGACGAAATGTATTTCTGTACCTCTTTTCAAAAAAACATTTTGTTACATTTAGCTACTTCATTGACGTCCACAAATCAAACCACAAAGATGCTGGTAAAGGCACAGCATTTTATTCACTTGCCAGGCAGAAAATTCATGTCTGTGGGTCAAAGTTAACGCACAGGAGTCAACCAATCAACTTCACAACCACTCAACCCGTGGCCAATAAGGACACCGTTGGCGACAAGCATGGTTATAGATCCACCACGAAAAACGATAAAGTAGCGGTTCCCTTCACCTTTTTTAAGCGCTTTTGCCTCCTAGTGCTTTGGATGTGACTATTTTGCTTACCTGCAGTATCAAAGAAGTATTTTCAAGCGGCAGATTTCTCTTAGAAACCCGAGACCATGCTTGCTTGTAATTAACCGCTAAATCCTCAATCACATGAATATATCTTGATCACGCAGATATTAGGCTTCTTGATTTTTTCAACTGGTAAAAAATTTTATTAATACGTTGCACATTTGATGGTTTTGCAATAAGTGCTAGTTTCTAATCTATATACCAGTCATTTGCATCTAATCATCTAATTTCGCTACCTTTGTATTAATCCAAGGAAAGAATTTTGGATGTTCTGACTCCTTAGCAAGCCTAGAAACTGATTATGAAACAGCAGAGCCTCTTTTGAGGCACTACAGAAACTCGAACCGATGATCTGCGATTGAGGACGAAGCTTTGTCGTGATGCGATCGAATACGTCACACCGAACCCCAGCATGGCTTGATTTAACCCATAGCGGTTCGTGCTCGTTGGCACCGAACGTAATCATAATTTTGTTTATACGCAAACCAGAGAAAACACACCAAGTAGCGTCACAATGAAGATAAACAAGTAGATTTGCCAGCGCTACCCCTGTCTACCGTCTGTTTACCGGTTAATGTCTGTTGTGTTGTGTCGCAACAATGTTGCGATGTCAAGCTATTGCGACAGCGTTGCGTAGTGGAAAAACATGCTCTACTATCCACGTTTGTCAACCCACATCTTGGTTTTGTGTGCGCGGTAAGTTAGCTTTTGCTCTATTTCGATACCAAAGTCGTACGAGTGATGATTTCAGGAGGCTTTCGACGTCGGCATTTGAAGTCCACGAGGTTCCCTGGACCCAACGAAGAGTAGAAGACCTCACTGGGGATCTCGAACTCAAAAAGGGGTTAAACAGGTGGTGGAGGTCCAGGTGTTTAGTAGATATCGCAAAACAGGCATGTCAGTGAGTACACAAGCCACAGACTTACAACCAAAACATGCTCAGACATGTCCAGACAAACGGTGGGAGCACTGAGACAAGGAAGGCTGAACTGAAACACGGTTTGTTGGACAGAAATGAGTTATTGAAGGGCCTGAAAGCAGCCTGGAGGAGATAATGGACCTGAATAGTGACGACTCATTGCAAAAGCACATGAAAAAAGTATTAAAATCGTAAAAAAATGCGCTGAATCGGGAGATGACGGCCACTGTGTTTCAGTTAGACTCCAAATCG